ATTAAAAGTGTTCAACTTGAACTATAAAAATTCATAAAGTTTGGCTCCAAGCCCAAGTGTGGGCTATCCATTTAGGTACAATCTGCCTGGCCTATGCAAAGGAAGGGATGTTCACAGTCCCATTGGGTAAGAAGGGACATGGACTCATGTTTCCATAATGGTCCTCATACTTCAGAATACTGTAGCCCCAAAGCAATCCCTGAAATTTTTCTCATTGTTTTTTTGCAAAGCTGTTGTCTTTTGGGGGTTGACTCTTTCTGGTTTGCTATTTTTATCCAATATAGTCTTGATTGACTGATCTGTTTTATATTGTCTAACTCTATTGCTGTCAGCTGTCTGGAACTGTTGGAACTAGATACTATATAAATTCCGGTCAATAATAATGTATGCACCTATATATTCATTTGCATAATTTCCCTGAAATTTGAATAGACAAATATAATACTGGAAACACATCAGCTGTAGGTTTTCAGTAATTTTCCTCAAGATTAATTGCTAGGTCACGTATGGAGAACTTTCCAATGCTTTCTTTTTTCTTTCGTGTTCATTTTCTTATTAATAATCTCTCTTTCCAATAACAGCAGTCTGCTGGAAAAATAACACCTTGCTATTATCAGTGGTAAACGCCAAGGTGGTTAAAGGCCACTTTAGCATTAGCAGTCAGTCTGTAAAATGGGTTCAAAATATTTCTTTCTGTTAAGTGTAAGGTGAGCAGTAAGATGAGTAGCATTATCTCAGAATGTAAATCCAATTAAACAATATTTTAAATCATATTAGTTTCTGGCTTAATTTCACCTTGTTTTCTAAACAAATTTAGAAGTTTAAGTACGTCACTTGACGAGATGGTGACTATAGAAAACAATCCATCCAAGAATCAAATAAATGATCAAAATCATTCATCCATATAAAGCAATGAGAATTTCATGAGCCAGTTTATGTAACATAGTTAGTACTATAAGAAAGTGCTATGAAAATTAAATTAAATTTTTGATTGAAAATTAAATCAGATTTTGTAGAAAATTCAGATGCAAATGTGTGGTTAAAACTTCTCAAGTGCAGATCGTAAAATGTTCCATGGTTCTGATTTACATATTGATATAAAGTCCCAATAAATCTACACCTGCCAGAGATGAGGCAAACTTTTTTAGTATGTATTATTGCTTCTCTTCCTAGGTTCAGAGGAAGTTAATAAGATTACACTTAAAAGCTTTGCTTCCCCCCCCCCCCCCCGAAAATATAAGTTACTGTTCTATTTAAGCTATAAATACAGTGCAGGAAGTTTCAATTTCACACATACAATATTTTTCCCCTTTTTCTCCACTGGAAATCAATATAAAAGGGTTGTTTTCTGCTTTTTAGCATTTTGAATACCTCTTTTTTCAAAGAAGAAACTCCACTAGGGTTTTTAAAATATATTCTTATTTTGATTTTTTTATATGTGAGAATTAACAGAAAATATCTGAGTGACTTCTCAGACACTCATTTCTGTCTGAAGTAGCAACAGAAGAAAATAAGGAATTTAAAATTGGGCTTCCCCCCGCTCTTTCCTTTTTTCTGCTTTTCAGGACTTCTAACAACATTTAGTCAAAAATGAGGCCATTATCTAGATGGGTACTGCTTGTGCCCATTCTGTTATATTATGGGCCTTCTTTAAGGTTGTTAAATAAAAGGGTATAGCTGAGACTAAAACACTGGATATAACATTATAAAAATAAAAATAATTTTTAGTGCATAAAATGAATTATTATTTTATCTAAATATATAACTCTAAAAAATTAAACTCAAGCAAACAAATTTATAAGCAAGGTACAGTTACAAAATACCCCAATTGGAAAGAGAGGACCCCAAGTTTTACCAATTGCTTTCTGATGATACCATTCTACATGCTTTCCTAAGGAGACCAGCAAATCTTTATGGTAGCTTTTTAGGGCATATAAATGGTTAGAGCAGGAAAGGCAGGAGTATGTAAAAGCCTCATTGCACAGCTGGCAAAAAATAAGAGGAAATATAACTGAAATTAGAATTATTGGGAGTTTCTATTTTACCGTATGCAAGTAAAAGTGTGCAAGTACCTTTAAGATATCTTCTATTTTAAACTTTTGTTTTGGGGTAGATAAGAGATCCTTGTATGTCCCTAATCTTATTATACTTGTATATTTTTATACTCAATGCGCAGGAAAAATGAGGTTAACCTAAAGGGTTGAGATGAGCTTTTACATTAAAAGCACATGAAGAATGCAGTTTTGCCATATGGGTATATATGCTGTAATCCTTCATGTCTTTTTCCTGAGGCAAACACTGTAATTTGCATATGGGCACATACCTCGGCTTCACATCTATTTACTTGCTTAAAGACAATTCCCAATAATATCGATGCTCACGACCTAAATGAAACAATCCCAATTGCCGAGCTTATAATATTCATCTGGTTACTATATCTTCCACCCACTCTAGCTTTAATATTACTACTATTTTTCACACCAAAAGTGAAATAGTACAAAATATGGGCCTGCTGTAATTGTTGTTAGATTATGTGTCACCCTGATAAGATGTAACAAATATTTTCCTACCCAGCAGGGCCCGTTTCCCTGTGGTTAATGGATGGAGAAACTTCTCATAGTCTGCAGGCAATCGGTCGTAAAAACTTCGCTCTGAAGATTAATGCAATAAGGGTAGCAATTCTTGAAAATGGGCAGAGTTGCATTTAAAATAATGTGGCTATGTTTTAACATTTAATAATAAACCTTAACCTATTGCAAGGGGATTATTTTTGATTGTTCACGTTCTGTTAAATATATAAAACAAATCCTTATTTTTCATTTTAAATGAAAATTATAGCTTCACTGCAGAGTATGGTTATTTTTTCAACAATCAGTTGAATATCAGTTATACTATAGCCACTTTCATGGGCAATCTAATATCAGTAATTATGATGGGTATCACTTAATACATGAGAATCCTTGACTTGCAGCCACTATTGTGAAAGGATTTTATCCATGTAGCCCAATTTTAAGATCTTTTTTTTAATGGCAGTTGTTAAGCAAATCACCATGGTTGTTAAGTGAAGCTTTGATAGTTAAGTGAACACTGCAACGGTGTGAATCCAGTCTTCTGAATGGAAAACTGGCAAGAGTTTCAAATTGCAGTCATGTGACTGCAGGATGGTACAACCGGTCGTAAACGCAAGCCAGTTTGGCAAGTGCTAAAATGCAGTCATGTGATCACAATACATGTGGCACAATAAAACACAGCCAGAAGTACTTTACAGGTTGTAAAGCACCTAGTATGGACCTATCATAATTTTGAGCAGTGATTAAGTGAGGATTAACTATAGACCAAATAAACTTTTAGGTATCATTTCGCATTTGACAATTTTAACCCTTTATTATCATTAGTTTTTGTCTTTTCTGGACATTTTACAGCTATTAACTGTCTGTGGAAGAAGACACCACCATTCTCCCCAAATTTCTGTTTCTTAATAATATAGTTTGAGAGTCACATTTAACAGAGGAAAGAGACTATGGCTAGTATTTGAGTCTTTTGGGGAAATAGCACTAAAGCACTCCAGCTACGCATTACTTTAACTAGTGATTCTTATTTTAGACATGAAAGCTGCCAGTCCAATTCTCCATATTATATCAATGTGTAGGTTCTAAACCAAGAAAACCAATAATCCAGATGACCTCTCCTAATGACTTTGGACAGATGTTAATTGTCAAGAGAAACATTCTGAGGGCAGTGTTTGTCAACTACGTAGTAGTCTCTAGCACCATCATCTAGGGATTGCTCAGCCAGGTAAGACTAGACCTATTGTAAACAATGTCTTCAAGTGCTATGGATAGCTTGCCAAATGGAATTGAATACTATTGGGAAGACAAAAGCCACTAACTGGCAAGCATTTTCCTATCTAGTTCCTCAGCCAAAATGATCAAGACTGTGTCTGTCTTCAGATTCAGCTTGAGCCTTCAGTCTGAAATTCACATTTGCACATCACAGTGTAGAGGAGGAAAAATAAATTCATTCCTTTTTTACATAATACATAAAACTATAAGCAAGTGTTCAATAATCTTAGAAAATAAACAGTTTTGCAAATAAAACTAAGGTTAAAGCATCCAAACAGCAAGTATATTATATGATTAGCGTTATTTTCTAAGGTTCGGGCACACTATTAAAAATGTAGTAAAGAAAGATATGTCCTAAGTTTATGAAAGTTCTTTTTAGTGTCCAGAAATTAGTTATTTGCACTATTTCCAAAGAAATATTAATGCACTAATATTTCTAAAGACTGGATCTATTTCTTTTTAAACAAAGATCTATTCCCACTATTACTCATAACCAACTTGATCTGCTGTCTCTTAGGTTTAATTGTGATACAAAAAAAAGGCTAGTAATCTTAATTATAAGAAACCATTAGAGCTACATGAGAAACTATTACTTTAAAATAATACATTAGGACCTCAAAGGATTTAGCTGGCAAAACCTAACTGAAAATATTGGCTGTATAACAAAGATCATCGACAGACAATGATTTGATATTTTCAGCAGTTAAAAGTACCTTAAAAGGTTTAGTACCCCGATACATTATGCATCTTTAGTGATTCTAAAATATTATTTCAAGTTCACCAATTGAAGTTTATGTTTCAAAGAGATATACATAGGTCTGTGCAAAACACAGCCGTTTCACATTCTGCATTTGGAACACAACATCCTGCATTTTGATACAAGCTCAAAAAATATATATGCTGTATTGTGTAATTATTTTTTAAAATATCCCATTTATGGAAGAGCATTAATCACTAAACCAAAAGGCACACATTTCCATTTGTCAGAAGCAGTGGAGACACAGTAGGGAAAGACAACCCAATTTAGTATATTTTTGAAACAGAGAAATATTTTGGAAATAAAAAAAACCAAGCTACCTGCCAGAAGGGAAATATACTGGCATTTACTATGGAGAAATTAAACGTTCAGAGGTTGTAATAAGTTGTTATACCTATGCGTTTTATGTGTTGCACTTTATTTTTCTGGGAAATTTCCCAAATGTAACAATAAACATTTACAGAATTATGTTCCCATCAGTTCCCAGGTTTTGTAAAAATATACTGTAGATGGGTTTAAGTTTGCATAATAATGTTGAATAGAAGCAACTGTGGGTGGGAAAAACTATTATTTTCAATCAATAGAGACAGTTATAAAAAAGCCCTATTTGAACTTCATAGAGTGGCATCAAATCTCCCAAAGTTGTTGCAGCATATATATTTGCAAGGGATCATAAATCATCCAGGTTTAGATCTCTTAGCTGCAGCATTCTCCATCCAAATTGCAAAAAGAATATCAACAGTGAGAGGATTCTTGATCTATTTACAAGCAAGACTAATTCTGTTTTTAATTAAGAAATACTGTCTCCTTCTCCAACTGTACCAAGTTGGCAAAAAAACTTACCATCCATCTCAATTTTAGTTGCAGAGAATGACAAAACAGGTAACTTTTACTGAGTAAAAGTTCTTCTTGAGAAGATCAACATTTAAGTCACGGACAAAAAATTAGTGATTTTTTTTTAATGAAACATCTCCACAATTTAAACACAATATTTAAAAAGTAATATATTTTGTTTAGATTTGAATACATGAGCAATCAAATCTAAAGCATTGTCAGAAGAATTTGCCAGATGCATCTATTTCAAATAGCACAAGCATAAGGGATATCATATTACCACAAGCCAAGATATTCCCTCTAAATAATTAGGAATAAAGATTTGATCCTACTGTAAACAAATAATTTGATATTCAAAGTTTTCAGTTCTTAAAGGTAATTTCTTCTGCCTCTTTCTTTGAAGAACTTGGAGAAAGTATAAATCAGTTCTGAATGCTAGAAAGCTGAACAAATGTCTTTACTTCATGTATTTTTCCTGTTGGTCAGCCAGGATTTTTGCTGAGGATTTGGCATCATAGAAGAGTTCATTTATTTCTTCAATATGTTCTTTTTCTATGCTATCTTTCCCATTGATTTTGGCTAGCAGATTGGCCGGGGTGAGTAACTGCACAGCATACCTACAGCCAAATAATAAGAGCAGTGATCAAATTAACATGCCGGTTACAATTACAAACAAAAACAGAAAATTTCTCAAGAGACATATACAAATATTTTTATTATAAACACTGCAGCTTGGTCTCCAGATGTTACCAATATATTTTGTGGTTGGAAATATCAAAGATTAGGCAAGGTGCTAATTATGGAATTATGAGTTACAAAAACAATTTGCAGTAGACAGTGATGTGATAACCTGTGAAACTTAAATTTAAAAATCTCTTTCCTTTGCTGCAGAGAAATAACTGCAGAACTACAGAATCCATTTTCAAAATTATTAATTTTTACTGTAACCAATAGTTTATGTTCCAAACATTTTAGCACTAATGCAGATTTTACGTTATGTGTAGTGGCTGCATCACTAAAGAAAGCTTAGAAAGATCGTATAACAAAAATTAGTTGATTCTAGCTGAAATCAGTTAAACTCCAAGCAATGATCTTTATAAAACAATTAGCAAGAAATAATTTTGGCATGGCACTTATTAAGGGCTGCAAACATTTCAATAGTTCTGTATTATTTGCAAGTTAAAGCCTTCAGCAATCACCTGGAAACTACAACAGACTTAGGCATTGATTCTGGTTACTTAATTTAAGAGTTGTAAAATGCAGTGTGAAAAAAAGAAACAGGATTCCATTTACTAACTATATGACCTATTTTTATAGGATATTAATTTCTGCTACTACTTTTCAGCTGTAAGTAGTTATTTGCCTAATAATTGCTAGATTAAGAAAGAAAAGGAGAACTAAACATGAAATGTCAGAGGGAGAACCTCTAAACTTGGTCATTATTGTGAATGAGATATTTCACCAAGTGTCCTATAACAATTAGCTGTCTCTTCCTGTCCAACTTTATCCCACTTCCAAATTTAATATCATTATATATATATTTTTATGCTTACCTTAATGTGGTTTTGGTGCCAATTTCCCCAAGATAATTCAGTGCTTCCTCACTAATATTTATGCTCTCTGTTTGGGCTCGAAGTTTTATGATCTAGCGAGAAAAAAATAAAATAAAAATGCATTCATAATAAAATAAAAATGCATTCATAATAAAAATGTCCTTTGGGGATTTTTTTTTTTTTTTACATTTGAGTATATGGTATATTATATGTGTTTTAGGGGGCAGTTTATTTTAATTTTGAATTTGTATCCAATTTGAAATAAAGATACAGTTTTAGTTCCTTTAAACTCTTAATTGGAAAAATACTAGGGGGAATTCAGTGATAATTCTTTGTGTTTCTAAAACATGAAAGAAAATGTACAGACTGACCAAAAGAACTGCAGCTCACCAATTCCCACTTGGAGCATTGAACGGCCTAATTTCTTTAGAAAGTCACAACTGCCTTTCAATGCTCAAATGCATATCAAACTTTTTAGCATCCTGATAAATAAGATGGTTAAAGATGTAAGAAATGTTGTCTGTTAGTTTTCCCTCCTCCCACAAAACCACTCAGATAAATCTAATCTATTGTGAACAGTCTCAAACTTGTACTGGTTTGAAGATCTTTATAAAGTTGAAAAAGAAGAAGTTATCACCAATAAGTCTGAGTACAGAAAGCTCTAACAAAAGTGGCACTAGGTTCCCTGCTGCCCGTATTACCAGCTGAGTGATAAGGGGCAGACTGGATAATGATGTTGTGTTATAGTGTTGAGATAACTCTGGAACTGTGAGTCTCATATAATGCAGGTATTTTTCACTTTGGCAGCTTTGTAAACAAGATATCAAGAAGCACTCGTTTAAATTAAAGCCATAAAAATGCACCAAGAGAATCAGAACATGGAAGAGGAGAAGAGGGGGATGAGCATGCAATTGGGGATTGATGTAAAAGATATCTGGATTATAAGGTAGCTTATTGAGGTTTCTTTCAGAGTGTTCATCGCTGACATAAAGATTAAGAAATCATCTTCTTATATCTAGACTTTTGCTTTCTTTGCGCAGAGTTAATATCTCCAGTTTAAAACTGAACTCAGCTCTTTAAAAAATTAAAGCAGATGGACTTTGCAATTCCAATCACAGTGATCACATTGGTTTTCAGTTTGGGTTTTTGGATCCATAATCCAAACTATCTTAAGGCAAGTTTAAAGAAGTTTCAAAAAGGTCATGTGGTGTATCGTTTCATAATTCTTGAATTTATTTGAACTAAGCAACTCTTTCTTCTTCAGATTCTAATTCTGAAAGCCAGAGGGTAATCCTTCACTGGCTGAAAGCTGCACTTTTTCTGGCTTTTGTTTCATAATAGAGAGAATGGAGTCATGCCTCATAAAACAGTTTACATGCATGTTAAAGATTTGCACAACATTTTAGTTCTTTCAACCTCAAATATTAGAAAAATATGCCAAAAAACCTTTGGCAGCAAACCACCGAATTTTGGAAGAGGGATCAGAATGGAATATAAAAGAGCAAAACATAGCCTGGCTTGCTCACCTGTCTCAAGTTGTTTGAAGGTTTAAATACAAGACTATAACTTTGGCACATACACGTTCTTTGAAAAAACAATAAAGATAATAAATCCAGCAAACAATTTCTGCACAGTAAACAACACTTTACACTTTATTAGCTGCTGAGATCAACAGTGGGTCACCTAACCATTTTACTTCGCTGTTAAAGCTAGTGAATTGGCTGCCAATCAGCCATCAAATCATGCTCAAAGATTTGACTCTGACATACAGTTCTAAACAACTTGGTACCAAGTCTGGGGATGATCCACAACATCATTGGGAAGTCTTGAGAGACTAGCAAATCAGGAAAAAGAGGAGCACTTTTTTTACCTGCCCTCTGAAAAGTTTCTCCACTCTCAAAATTAAAAAAGGGACTAAAACTGTGCTGCTTTTAGATCTGTCTTGAAGATCTACTTCCTCAGCCAGGACTTCTCAATACGAATGTTTTGCTTTCATCCTTTCCATCTTCAATTTGCATAGCTCTTCAAGAGTTAATTTGCTGTTAATCTATTACATTTTAATAGAGTTGTTAAACTGTAAACTGTTTCAAAATATAATTAAAAGTATATGGGGAGCAGAATATAAATAAATATTCAATATGTAATCTCTATTGGGGCAACACTGAAAAATAAAATATGAATTTAGATTCTATAATAATTATTACTTTGCTCTTTAAAAAGGTGTTAATCTAATATCTCCACTTAAAATGTTTTTTCACAGGAGTAAATACATCCAGCAATTTCATTGTTTCTTCCTATGTCTTCATTTCTAGTCCTCTGAACATCCTTTGCAATACGCTATTCCAATTCTTTTGAATGCTTCTGAAATATTATGCCCAGAACCCAGCATAGTACCTGAGGTAGAGGCTGACAAATTAGAAATTTTGCTTCTAACTGAAACAATCTACTTTTCTCTCCTTTCTACTAAATAGAGTGAGTCCATTCAAGTTTCCATTTAAAAATGTTTAGAAAGAGGTTTTGGTATGAATGCACAGAACATTTTATTCAATTTAAAATAAGAATTTATTGTTTTCATGAAGTCAATTTCTCCATCTCACGCCCTTGTGACTAATTAATTTAATCAAACACTACAAACTTCATCTCCTAAATTCTTTTAAAAGTCAACCGTTCATAAAACAGACTTTTAATCATTTAACAACCCATAGGAGAAATTCAATGGCAACTTAATGTGATATATAAATTATAAATGTTCATAGACAAGACTGACAAATTCTACCCAAATCAAAGCTGCTTGAAGTAATGCAACAATATCTTTACCATCCTTCATGCCTCTGAAAAAGCAAGTCATAATACAGAATGCAATATAGGAACATTTGAATTTATTTTCTTGACAATGACACAACTTCTGAATTATCTTTTACATTAATATACAGCTTAAGGCCTCTCTGACACCATCTGTACCCCGTGATCACTTCTAATATAATCTACATTATCCTGTCATATATAGAAAACCATCCCAAAAATCAATGCTGCTTAATTTTACAAAAAAAAAAAAAAAAAGCAATATACAAAAGGAAATGAGGCTTTACTGGTACATTTATATTCAATAAATGCTTCTGTTCCTCCTTGGCACTTATCCAGCAAGAGAGACTATTATCTGGTGACAAAGCTTTCCACCACTGACACTATCTCTTAAATAATACGAAGAATTGACATGATAAACTGCAGTAGCTTCTTTATGTGTCAATCCATAGTACAGAGACACTAATGAGGGGAATCTTTGATATTTCATAATAACATTCAAGAATTATAATCAATGTTGCACGCAGTAAGATGGATCTGGGAATTTCAGAAATATTATGTTGCATACTAGAAAGTCCAGATTTCTCTTGGAAAGCGTTAACAAAGGTTGTCCTGTCCTCTTTAGATCAGTTGAATGATGGATACATGAGTACTGTAAGGGACTATCGGCAGAAAACGAACTCTAGGAATTTACACGTTCACACTCTTCAAGACACAAAATATTTTAGCATATAAGTGCTTTTGTAATCTTAAGAAAGATGAACTCTTAAAACACCCATATTCCATATTTGTGTATCTAAGAACATAAATATAGTTGAAGATAATTATTAGAAACTGCTTTGTTAATGTAACTCGCCCACTGTTCATGTACGTAAAAATAAAAAATAAACAGGAGGCCTTTGCAGAGATTCATCTGGTGTGCCAGTTTGGCCTTTTCTGGATCAGGAGGCCCTATTGCTAAATGCTCCTACCTAAACTCTTTCTTGGTTTAACTGCTGCAATGATTGCCCTTGAAGACTACTTGGAAGCTACAGTAGGTGCACAATGTGATAATATATCTGTACACCTCACTGTGCCCATGACACCCTTCTACCTCATGAACTGTACTGGTTATCAATTAGTTATCTGGGTATAACTCAAGGGGATGAATATAAACCTTTACAGCTCAAAGCCTGGATATCTACAAGACAAACTGTCTACTACTGCCCATCTGGTAAGATCTGGCAACATTGGAATACTCCAAGTCTTATTGCTAAAATAATCTCATCTCATGGGACTTTGGAGATGGGCCATCTCTCTGCCTTCACCCTACCTGGGACAACATTCCTCTAAGGGCAACACAGTTCCCACCATAATGTCCTTTATTAAACAACTGAAGACCTGGCCATTTCAGTAGACCTTGGAATAAAATAAGTGATCCCACATCTGATACTGACTTGATTTTTACTAACCAACATTTATAGGTTCTGTAACTGTAGCCAAGTTTCCCTGACCTGGCCCTTAATACTTTTTGTATTTTTTTCCCCTTTTCTGTTGTTTTAAATTGTGTTTAGTATTATGCATCACCTAGGCTTGCTGTGATGATTGAATTGGTTTCATAAAAAAAGCAAATACTAAGTTCAAATATAGACTTGAGAATAATTTTAGCCAAGACAGTGACTTGTTCATGCATATGACTGACAGTATGCGGTAGCTTACTAATAGAAAAACCTATGAAAAATAACTTTCAAAATAACTTGTAGTCATATTTTGATAAGGATGGGCTGCTTCATGTTACACTTTAATTACCTAAGTGAAGTTCCATAAAGTCATTTGCTGCCCATTAACCAGATGTTATATATGAAAGAATTACCTGTTTCATTTCTTGTGGTGTATATAACATGGTTCTAATGATCATTACCCGGTCCAGAAGATCCAGAGGTATCCCATGTGGAGAGATAATATCTTCTGTCCCTCTAAAGAAATATAAAGGAAAGTTTAGGCTTCTATAGAACATCAGCATGTTAGTGCAATTCCACTATTGCCCTCCTTCCTATCAGATAGTTATTTACATAGCCTAAGGGGAAAAAAATGGAAAACTTCATTTCTCCATTAGAGGGCACCCCAGTTTCATATGAAACATTTTTCATTTCAGATTATTACATTCTATTTGGGGCTGATATGACAGGATGGGATAAGGAATGAGAAAGTGACCGTGTTCAAGTGCAGTTATGTATCTTTCCTTCCTTCTTTCCTTAAAATGAAGAGGAATTTATTTCTAAAAATGGAATTAAGAACATATACTCTTTTTATAAAATGAGATGTATATTCATAATTGGCTGATACATAGAACATTTCACATTGTAATAGTCTTCACTGTATGAAGCCAAAATACATTCTGAAAAAGTAGGTGGAATACCTAATTCATAGAATTTACAGAGAAGAAACAAGTCTATATGCCTATTAAAGAGACAAAGAAGAATACAAATATATTTTCTGAAATACCACATTTATTTTCTGTGTCAGACACTGTAGGACTTTTTTTTCTTTTAGTGTGCAACTCAATTTTGAAAGATCACATAGTTTTAAGAACAAAGAAGACAGGTCAAAAATTGTACTGTTATTAAGATTTTGCTTTAGCTATTGTTGGGTAACTGCCGATGCCTTGTTCCTAACATTTGGAGTTAACACTGTTATAACAGCATTTATATTTAAAAAAAAATGAGAGAAAGCACAACATGTACAGCATATACATCAATGTCAAAGAGAAGGAAAGAGCAGATATGTTCATAGGAAAGGCACTTAAGAGTTTTATTCTTTTTTTCCTTGCATTCTCAACCTTTTCTTCTTGATTAAAGTTTTATTATATTACTTATATGTTGCTTTGTGAACATTGTTTTTCTTCTATCATGAACAGAAATTGAATAAAATTAAGTGTTGAAGAGAGAAACACAGTAAAAAGAAGAAACACATTCTTTAATGTCTTTGCCACATATTAATTACTGTTGCTATTCCTATAGAAAACATGATGAGCTGTGAAAATATTCAAGCAAACCACGCTTAATGTCTGGAAGACATTTACAAGCTATGGGTATCACTAACATGAGCCCATATGCATCATGGAATAGGGCAGAATGTACAAGCTCTTGAAGCAATAGGGATATAAAAGCATTTCCATCCTAAAATCAAGTGCTAACAGAAGACTAGAGTAAGCCAGATTACTAATGAGTTTAGTAATTAAGGAATGAGCTTAGTAATCAAGGAAGCATAATTGTGTTTTTGAAAATTAAATCATGATACCCAAAGACACAAAATATTTTTTCTTGATTTGTGTCATATACAGTGAATATGCAGAAAAGGAGGCAAAATTTAAATACACAGATGAACCCTCAAAAGATTTTGGATGAATTTAAGCAATACCAAAAATGATGGCTAAAAACCATGTCTGATATTTAGCTCTCAGCAGTCTAATATACAGCTAAATCCTGGGGGGGGGGGAACCAATAATGCTAAAATTAGCATTGGCTATTGTTGTTATACATTTAAAAGTGCAATGCTAATACGTGCTATACTTATATATGCACTGATATTCCATACCATGTTATGTTGCATAATGCAATCCCAAAACTTATTTCAATGTAAAATAATTTGAGAAGCAAAGACAAACGCTGTCGGCATCAAAAAGTTTATCTATTTCAGGCTATGAAAGACAAGCAAATAAAAAACCGAAACAGGGAAGCAGGCGGGTACGGTAGCAGAATAGTCAGATATTCTGACTTACTAAACAGCATATTGAAAATATTTCTGGGAAAGGAGCAAGGCAAATAAACAGAGTAAACTTTGATAGTTGGAGGGAGGGTCACAAGAGAGGAGGAAAAAAAAAACCTGCTTTTTTTCCCCCCCCAAGAAACTCACTGTATCTTGATCATTGCAACATGAAATTTGTCTCCCCTACGGTAAAGGACTAAGCTTTAAGCATCATACCTGATTATGCAGTTTCCCCGGTTGGAGGCAAAGATGACTATCGGAGCGATAGAAGATTCCAATGCGCGATGCAAATATGTGAAGCACTCAATATCCAGCATATGAACTTCATCCACAAAAAGGACACCAGGGACTAACTCCGCAATGCCTTGATCAATATATTTATTTACCACCTTGTTGATCTCACCTCGAAGCTTGTCTGAGAGGAAAAAGAAACAGCGGGCGTCTGATATCATTTCATCAGTATTTTTTTTCCAAAAATATACCTGTATAAAAATCTATATAAGCATATCTAATGTACAAGACAATTTTTTTTAAAAAAATACATTCAAATAAATGATGTCAAGTATTTTCCATAAATACGATGCATTCTTGAGTGTTAGCTTTTGGATAAAAACAACAACAACAACAACCAATTGTTTTGATGAATCTACTTTCTTCACTTTCACTATTATGAAAGGTACTTTGTAAGATACTTATTTGTTTGGCTCAAGACTTCTGGCAGCAAAATAAACATTTATACTAGTAAATTTGCTAACCACAGATAAGCCCTGAGCCGATGTTATTTGTTACCTGCCAAAAGTCAGGATTCTTTCATTTATCTGTACTATTCCTAACAGTTTCATACAAGATCAGACTCTTTCTAGTTTTGGTGAAAAACTTTAAAACAGGCTAAGTAAATTATTGCTGAATGACAAACTTCTCCAACTTCTCGTTTTTGAAGTATTGCAGTTTTGAAAAATCTCTTGTAATATTGTCTTTTAAATGGAAATATATATATCAAAGTATATACCAAATAAACCAAGTGAAATAAATATTCATTAAAGGTAGTCCTTGAGTTATGGTGGCAATTGGGCCTGGAATTTCCAACACTAACACAATGTGGTTGTAAAGTAGGATATCATGTGGTCAGTGGTGGGATTCAAATATGGAACCAGTTCTCTGTGTGGACGCCGCTTCCAAAAGTCCATTCTGGGCCTGGGCAACAAAAAAATTAGCTACCAGTTCTGCTGAATTGGTGCGAACTGGCTGAATCCCACTATTGCATGTGACTACATCTTAGTGGTAGCAATCCTTGCAGTCCCCATTGCCATTGTTAAGGGAGGATTGTGCCTTGTTAAGCATGCATCTCCTTGCAACTTCCTATCACTTCCCAACAATAAGTCAGTGGGTGTGTAGTCGGCTGGCAGCTAAATGGCTGATGATGAGTGGGAGAGGGAATGAGGGATGTGCAAGTGGCTGAAGAGGCATGGCGGAGTGCGGTGGGGCTTCAGGATGGTATGCAAGTGGTCAGCGAGGCATGGCATAAGAGCAATGTAAGAGATGGCCAGGCTGAGCCTGAGGGAGGAGTCAAAACGTCATCAGTCTTGAGTCCCTTCACGCCCAGAAGAGATTTAAGTCCAGTCCTCTTTCAATTCCATTAACTCTTATCTACTGCCATTTTGCTTTGACTATTAGTGGTTCAGAATCTTGTAGGGGGTATTAGCATGCAATAAGCTTCTATTCATTTGAACTGCCTTGGCTCCTAATTTTCGATGCTTGACAAACAGCAAAGTTTGGGGAGGGTGCACAAATGGCCAAGGAGGCACAGTGAGTGCAATGAGGCTTGGGGAGGGTGTTTAAGGGTCAGGTTAGTGGCTGGCAAAGGTAACATGAGTGAAGAGAATCTGGGGTGGTGCACAGATGGAGGAGACTTACCGGAATAACTTGCAACTTCCTGTGCTGACTTCCCCATTGTCGTTATTTGTAGGAAGACGGTAGGGAACGCCACAAATTGTGATTATGTGACCATGGGATGCTGCAACCACTTTTAGTTTGAACTGGTTACCAAGTGCCCAGGTTGCAAACACATGGCTATGGGACTGCTGAAATGGCAAGAACTTCAAGGATTTAATACAGGTAACGTTCAGTTAATAACCACTTGTTCAACATCACTGTACTTTTGAATGGTTACTGAAGAAGTGGTTGTTAACTGAGCATTACCTGTATTAAGATATCCTCTACTCGTGGCCATTTCAGAAAGAATATAAAAGTCTGTATTGTATCAATATTGTGGCAAACTACCTTATGCTACAGTTTCATGTAAGTGTAATCACATTTCTATTAGATTGTGATTTCTAACTATTACACTTTAATTATTAAATCTCATTCAACTGTAATGATCCCAAGCAACATACATCTTGTTTTCTCTATTCATGAAGTTTACTTTTCCACTGCCTCTCTTAAAAACTTAACGTGATACATTAATCACCAAATTAAATGGAATTACTTCAATAAGAAAAAAATGAAAGAGATATTTGGAGCACCTGTGATTTCAGTTTTCTTTGGTTTCATTAGTTGTCCCATCATGGAGAGGATGTCTTGTCCACCCTACAGAAAATTGATTTGTGAGTTAATGAGACTTTTTAAAATTCTAATGAAGGACTGCTTGTACAGAAAGATTTATTAAAAATATAAGAATGTTGAGCTAAAAATCAAGTTTTCAAGTTCTTTATATCAACCAATTGCTAGTAAGTCATAATTATTTTAAAATTGATAGTCTATATGAAAATCCATCTATAAATTCATCTATGTAACTGTGTTCAGAATGTAATGGGACTAGGTGTTTTTTTTTTTTTTTGGGAACCTACAGCATCCAGAAAAAAATATAATGGAAATTTAATCAGTGTTACTAATTTAAAATGATAATGTGCATTTTATGGTCCTTTTAATTTTTATTTGTATAATTTTTCATTATGCAACAAAGTACCATATATAGATAAAATAATCTGAATCCTTTATCTCAATGCTATGAGACAACATAATGAGCTGACGTTGGAGAAAAAAAACAGCACATCAGATTCTCACCCATTATCACAGCACCTCTTTTTCAGGTTTATATTGATAAATATTGATTTATGTAACTAGTACTTCTGCACAGTACACTGTGAGGTGATCATAAAGTGAGCATGTTAATCTTGCATCAGAGTATGATTAAAAGGTTAAAGTTTGTGTGTGCTGTTCCACACGACTGTATTGTGTAAAACATATTCAGCATTCAGAGCAGTGGTTCTCAACCTTTTTAATGCTGCGACCCCCAACTGATCGTAAGTCGAGGACTACCCAACCGATCATAAGTCGAGGACTACCCAACCGGTCATAAGTCGAGGACTTTCCCTGCCTGGGAGTGCTGCGCATGCGTGGTGCCACCCCCTGGGGCAGGCCGACCACTGGCTGGGCCACCAGCTGGCCCAGCCCAAGAGAGGTAAGGCACCCGCCGGGCCCCACGCACGCCAGCAACCCTCCGTGTGCCCGCCGGCCTCCCACCTCTGGTCCTCTTTTACTTACATTTTTAGTAGTTGCTCAGCAGGAAGGGGTGGAAACTTCCTTTGCTGCAGACAACTTGCAGCACCGTTTGCAGAATGGGACTTTTGGCGGGCTCAGCAGGGCAGAGACAGCCTGGACAATTCCTATTGGCTTTTGAAAGCCAATAGAATTAGACTCTATTCAAGAGAGTCTATTCTATTGGCTTTCAAAAGCCAAAAGAATAAAAGGGAGTAGCACAGCTAAGGAAAAGGGGGAAAAATGGCGGACTGCGTTGTTTGGCGACCCCTGTGAAATGGTCGTTTGACCCCAAATGGGGTCCCGACCCACAGGTTGAGAACCGCTGATACAGAGTGATGGATCTGGCATTCAAGAGACTTATCAGTTTCCATTAAAATGCTGAAGGTTGAAAAAAATTGCTTGTATTCAGGTTTGCTTATGAACAAAACAGTGTACTGGGAAAAATGAGCCTTTAATCCTATGTTTAATTTTTTACAGAATTTGTATTAAAACAGGGAATAAATATGCTTGTTTTTGCTTCAACCACATGGTTCTACAAAGGAGCTATTTTCTGGGTGTGTTTGTGTCCTAAAAAAATTCACTGCCCATTACTTCCTGAATTGTATACATTCATAAAGATACAAACTCAGAAACACAGAAAGAGGATATTCAGACAGTCTATACATTTCAAAGCCATTTTTCAAAAACAGCCAGGAAAAACTTACATAACAGCTGTTGGGCACTTGGGAAAAAGTTATGGTTACTTTTAAGTATTTTTCTGAACGGGAGATACACACGAGTTACAAAACATCTCTTTCCACGAATTTGCAGAGCCCGAATAGCCTCTATCCGTGTTTCTGTGCCTGTATCTTTATACATGTATACAATTCAGGAAATAATGGGCAGTGATTTTTTTTAGGACACAAACACATCCAGAAAATAGCTCCTTTGCAGAACCATGTGGCTGAAGCAAAACTGACTAATATTAATAAAAGAGAGTTTTCTCAACAGTTTTATTGTTAGCAGCTTGGCTGTTTTATCAGTCCCCAAATGAATTCGATTAAAAGTTAGCAACACAACTATTTTTATTTTCTGTATGTGCATACAGTTTGCCATTAGTACCTGAGGCCGAGCATTGGCTACATCCAAATCATGCAGTGTGACATCCTGGATAATTTCTTTCTTCTTGTGCACATCACCCTTTGGCAAGGGAACATATTCTTCAGCCTCAAGGTCAAATTCAGTAGCATAGGTGTCACACCTACCTTGCCTCTGTGGATAAGAATTTAGAAATCACACACACTATATTTATAGTTAGTGTTATTACAAATATTCAGAGAGTGACATATAGGCTGATAAACAAAGGTCTTGTTTTATAGTTATGCACATGACAAGCTCTGGTTGACAGTTTTGAAAATGCCAGACTTGTCCTTGAAAATGAACAGCTATGAAATTCTACTGTCAGGAGCAGGGTTTTTTTCCTCCACTGTTCTGAAAATGAAGAAAATTGAGTAAAGGACAAATCCAACCAATTTTGTAGAATGTGTAGAAATTGTTTCAGATTCCTTTGAACATGGATGATTTATTGTTTGATACAAAATATTATGCCCATCCATTAAACACTAAGTATCTCTTTATACTACATTTTAAATCAGATACGAGCAACATGCTAACTAATGCATTTCCTTCTAGATGCATATATTTTATGACAAAAAATCTACAGGGATAAAGATTAAACGCTCTATGCATTTCTTATGAGCGTGACTAAAGTTACTTTAAATCTTCTTGCCTTGTTTTAATGAATAAAAAACACCCAAGCTTTAAGTCAAGTATTAAAAATCAATGAAGAAACATTCAATGCAGTTGTAACTGGGAGTCTCAGACCAAATGACCTTATTTATGAATTACATTACTACTTTCTTTAGCGGTGTCATTCATGTAGGAACAAGAGATTTTAGACTTTGAGAAAAGGATAACATATACTAGAAGGGATTAAGGTTGTTAGGACAGAAGTCTTTTTACCAAAGGAGACAGGTCAAAATACATAGAGCTTCATGGCTACTTTCTTGCTTTACCTTGACAGCTCCACTGTTTGCTTCAATATAAATTACATCGCCAGCTTCCACTCTTTCCTTTTGCAAACTTTCAAATATGCTGGGATCCAACTGGAGTTAGAGAAAATAAACAATGATTAACTACATTAACATCAAAAACAGGCAACCTGGTTTTACAAAAATCATGTTTGATTCCACAAAAAGCCATCCAAGAAGTAATATTTATAGTACTGGAAGAACAAGCTCTAGGAATTTAGATTTATCTACATTTAGAATGAGCTAATTTGTCAAATCCAACTACTATTTAGGTTGATTTAATGCGTTCTGTAAATATAATATAAATATTTTAACTTCAACATTATACTGTAGCATTCAGATGACATTTCAATTGCTTTTACATATTCTTCTTATGCCATCATTTAAACATCAGATACTCTGAAGAGAGATAAAACTCCAAGATACAACTGTGATTGACATATCATTTAAACCCTGATTAATTGGCTACAACTGATTCAAAGCTGCCATCACATAAGTCATAAACCATGGCTTATAAAACACACTAACTGAATTGACACAAAATGTTAACCTAAACGCTATGTCTAACTTTTTAACTCGTGCCGAAACAACTTTTTAAATAGACTTTTCACTGATTTTCAATGACTTGTTCTAATTGTTTTTAACAGGATAGTTAACTTTTTTGGGGGGATTAACATTCTTTTTATATTTTATTGTAAATTATTGTGAAATTTTGGAGGCTGTCAAATTATCAGGCTTTGTGGGAAAAAAAGGTGTAAATAAAGGCATGGTGACCAGGCTGCAGACTAGGAAGAAGACTGGGATGTTTTATATCTGTCAAGTAAAGCACTGAGATTAGCCTTCCTTGCCCTGAAATAATAAAAGCAGTCAGAGAGAGGCATGTCCTTGGGAAAGTCTAAATTGCAGAAAGAAATCCTAGGGCAGGGGTAGGCAACCTTGGCTCTTTTATGACTCGTGGACTTCAACTCCCAGAATTCCTGAGCCAGCTGAAGTCCAAGAGTCATAAAAGAGCCAAGGTTGCCTACCCCTGCCCTAGGCTATGCTGCTTTAGGGTGCACAGAAAGATGCCAGATTATAAATTCCAATGCATTCTTGCCCTATTTGGCATATTAGTCCACATGTCCTGGGCATATAGCATTGTATTTTGTTGTTTCCTCCTTTTTCAAAAGGAAAAGGTGGGAAGAGGTAACTTGGTGCACAGTAGGAGTGATGGTAACTAACATTTTAAGTCCCTGGCAATATTAATAATAATAATAGTAGTAAAGTTGGAAGGGACCTTGGAGGTCATCTAGTCCAACCCCCTGCTCAGGCAGGAAACCCTATACCATTTCAGACAAATGGCTCTCCAGTCTCTTTTTAAAAACCTCCAGTGTTGGAGCATTCACCGCTTCTGAAGACAGGTTGTTCCACTGATTAATTGTTCTAACTGTCAGGAAGTTTCTCCTTAGTTCTAGGTTGCTTCTCTCCTTGCTTAGTTTCCACCCGTTGCTTCTTGTCCTGCCTTCAGGCGCCTTGGAAAATAGCTTGACACCCTCTTCTTTGTGGCAGCCCCTGAGATACTGGAACACTGCTATCATGTCCCCCCTCGTCCTTCTCTTCATTAAATTAGACATACCCAATTCTAGCAACCGTTCCTCTAGTCCCCTAATCATCTTTGTTGCTCTTCTCTGTACTCTTTCTAGAGTCTCAACATCTTTTTTACATCGCGGTGACCAAAACTGGATGCAGTATTCCAAGTGTGGCCTTACCAAGACATTGTAAAGTGATATTAACACTTCACGTGATCTTGATTCTATCCCTCTGTTAATGCAGCCTAGCACTGTGTTAGCCTTTTTGGCAGCTGCAGCACACTGCTGGCTCATATTTAGGTGATTGTCCACTAGGACTCCGAGGTCCCTCTCACAGTTACTACTATTGAGCAAGGTACCCCCTATACTACACCCCTATACCCCCTATACTATTGAACACAAATACCTAGAAAAAGCCACATTGATCTTAATAGGCTCACTTTCAAGTAAGCATGAATAGGATTTCAGTTTAAATGAATTATACAGTTCATGAGAAATTGTTTAGTAATTTAAAAGGTTAAGTTTACTTCACCAGCAGAGGAAATGTTTATTTCAACTGCTTCTCTCAATGGGGATGGACAGCATTTCTAAACTCAAGTGCATGTGCCAAGCTAACTGGGGGATAGTTTAAATTTCTAACTGGAGCTTATATCCATTTGCAGAATAAACCTATAAAAGGAGACAAGTAAATAAAAACTGCCTAGAATCTTCTATTTCCCTTTCTTTTTTATTCAAAAGACAGAACTATTAAGAAGCTGAGGAACATTTGAAAAATGTCCATAGCTACCTTTAGCTGTTTAGTTCCTTTTGCTGTTTTGAGTCCAATAATGACATGACTAATGGTTTTCCCGTAACCTCCCATAGGATTCTCAGTTTCACAGGGAGTTAATTCTGTGACTTCTCCTTCATAAACTTCCTTGGTTTCTTTAATTCTTAATCCTGTAAATATTAAATACAGAAGTTATAAGCTGCCATTTTTATTGGATTGTTCCAAATAGTCACCATATCCAGATAAAGTTGTTAATTCAATGGAAAACTTTGTGGAAAATAATGTATTCATAATAATAAATATTCAAACGCTGAAGAATTTATGACAAGGAAGAAGAAATAAAAAGTTCTGCATCTCTGTATGTCCCCACTGTTCACAAAACAATCAAACGTAGTTTGTCAACCATCCCAAGCATTGGGGCAAGTCGTGAAAAGGTGTAATATCTTTATAATGCTATTCCTTGATGCAAAATTACATTGTTTTCCATTTGCATTGCTATTTCTGATACTTATCTGGTATATTTTCAGTGGTTCTAAATTCAGTATCAACTGGTAACAGCTAAAACTATATGTTGTGTTTTGTAATATTTGTCAAAATTAATTGCTATTGCTTGCATCTCCTGCTGTATCATTTAGGAAATTCTTAATTTAAGAGTGAAAATCCATGTAACCGTATAAGAATCAGATTTTTTTTTTTAATTACATTGCTGGCACCTAAAAAAAAAATGTTTGGATTGCCAATGTTATTTTAAAACATTAATAACTTGTGAAAGAGAAATCAGCCCAATTCAACAGATGTAGAAAAATTTCTGTCACTAACATCAAATACTTGTTTAGAAGCATCTCCATCCTAACATCCAGAAAATGTGAAGCATCAACAATGTAGCTGGCTGTTAAATTATTGCTATCTCTAGGAATGACAAATGTGTTTGACACAGGTTTCAACTGTTGGTTCAAATTTCCAAATCTGACAGGTAACTCTTCATCACATCAAGGAAATATTGCAGACGGTGCTCTCTCCATCTTTGAACTCTCTCTCCATGAACCCTGCCAATTTAATTGTAACTTAAAGACCATAGATGATTGAAAGTCTCTTTCTAACAGAAATCAATGAGTCACTTTTTTCAGTTGCAAGGACTGATGGAAACATTTCTTCACTTTAACGGTACTGAATACTTAGTTGATGGTCTGTGTTAAATCATAGGGAGCCCGGGGGAATTAACAGATGTCGGAGTCAATAATAAAAACAATTAAGCTATAATTTAAGCAATACAAAAATGTAAAAGGAATAGTGATATCAACTGTCAGCAGAGAGTAACTGAAGATTTAAGGTGCAAATGTTTATTCATCAAAAGGAGCAACTGAATGTATAAATTGAAACTTAAATAATTCAGCTGATAAATTCAGTTGATAAAGAGAAATTTATCCCCATGAACAAGCTATTCTACCTGTAAACCCCTTAATCAAATTTCTTCGACAACATACTCAATTAGACTGAAAAGAGTATCATTTGTACTATTTTTAGCTAACGTATCATAATATAGAAAACACCAGAGTTTGTACAAAGATACTAGCAGATAAGTCAGTCACCATGCAAGAACACTGAAAAGAGAAGCAAACAAATGTGTCCTTCCAGTCAAAAGAATAAATGCTATTCACTGAATATAAAAATGTTGGGTGGTACATAGATTTAATAAATAAATAAATGCTCTCTCACAAATACATATAAATTTGGTTTTTTGCTTTAAGTTTCTTACCAATTGCTCTTCTGAAATTTTCCATCAAGACTTCCGTTTTCTTTATTTCAGTAGAATATACTTCACTTCCAACCATAGGGCAAAAGGGAACCTTACTTCCCAACTCCTGAGCAATAGCTAGAGCCAAAGCAGTCTGAAGACAAGAAAAAAAAAAATCACACACATAAATACAGTTAAATTACCCAACTAAAAATAATTTAAATGCAGAAAAAAATAATCCTCTGATTTTAGTTTAACTTCTATAAAATAAATACTTTGGCTTGAATCCAGAATTTGAATTCTTCCTTCTACAGAATATTTTCTCTGTCAACTCAATAAAGCCTAAGCTAGAGCAGTGGTAGCGAACCTATGGCACGGGCACTCAGAGCCCTCTCTGTGGGCACACGCACCATCACCCCAGTCCTAGGCCTTCAGCTGGGTTTTATAAAACCTTTTCGCTTTAGGCCTCCGCCGCCATGTACAAAAAAAAAGGTTCAATCAATCAGTCAATTTCAACTTCTCATGGGGAAAAAAAGATCTTGCAAAGTTGGAATTGATTGATTGAACTTTTTAGTCCCACCCAGTCTGCCGTTTCCACCGCACCCACGCCCACCCAATGGGCCACACCCACCCGGCACTCAATGATGCATAAATGTGTTTTGGGTTGCAGTTTGGGCACGCGGTCTCTAAAAGGTTCACCATCACTGAGCTAGAGAGTCAAAGTTCTTTTGGATCCCTGAATTAGAAAGGAACTGACAAATAACAAATGTATCCTTGTTCCTGTTCTTCTGGTGGGAAACTCTGCTGTTCCCAGAAGGAGCCATTCTATTTATAGAAAAAAGCCTAACCATTTTTATTCTGATCTCAGAGAAGAGACACAGGGGCCATCATGACAAAAAGTGTTGATGTTAGTTGGCAGCAATTTAGCCTTTGAAAGCTACAGTGCTTGGAATATGGTATTACTGATCTATCATAAGGAGAAGTGCAATGAACATAGGAACTAAGTAATTTTTAACATCCCTAATACTGTAGGGATAAGACTGCATAATATTTGTAGTTGGAGCATATATTTGGATTTTGAATGGCATACCACTTCTCTGAAAGGAGACAAATCTAGGATGATAAACAGGTAAGAATAGGGGAAATGCTATGTCTGATAACTACATATAAAGTTAAACTAATTAACATTACTAGGATTAGAAGGTAAAGTTCTATAAGGGTTCTAACCAAACTATGTCAGCAAATCTGAAGAATGACTCAGTGGTCAACAGATAGGAAGAAACCAGTCTACACGCAAGTATCAAAAAAAGAGAGTTAAGTGAATGTGTAGCTATTTCATAATATCCTTAATTCCACACTAACACTTAGGATCCCCCAACACAGATGAAAGCTCTACATGGAAAAGAAGATGCCATATGCTCAAACTGGCTTTACAAAAGGCCAAGGAATAAAACACATGACGCACCATGGATAATTGAGAAAGCCAAAGAATTCCAAAAACAACTATACATCTGCTTCATTGATTATAGAAGGGAATTATATTGTGTCATTCACATTAAGCTGTGGAATGGATTTATGAAAATGGAAATCTCGGAATATCACAGTTTTCATGTGAAATCTATCCCCAAATGAAGAAGTCACTCTAGCTCAGTGGTTCTCAACCTTTTTAATGCCCGATCCCCAATCAGTCGTAAATCGAGGACTACTCAACCGGTCGTAAATCGAGGACTACTCAACTGGTGCAGCACCGTTTGCAGAATGGGACTTTTGGCGGGCTCAGCAGGGCAGAGACAGCCTGGACAATTCCTATTGGCTTTTGAAAGCCAATAGAATTAGACTCTATTCAAGAGAGTCTATTCTATTGGCTTTCAAAAGCCAATAGAATAAAAGGGAGTAGCACAGCTAAGGAAAAGGGGGAAAAAATGGCGGACTGCGTTGTTTGGCGACCCCCGTGAAATGGTCGTTCGACCCCAAATGGGGTCCCGACCCACAGGTTGAGAACCACTGCTCTAGATGGAATAGGAACCCTGGTGGTACAGTGATTAGAATGAGTATTGCAGGCAAATTCTGCCCACAGCCTGGAGTTTGATCCTGACAGGGCTCGATGTTAACTCAGCCTTCCATCCTTCCGAGGTTGGTAAACCCAGATTGTTCTCATTATATACTGACATTATAAACAGCCAATTTCTGTTGTTAAGTGAGACATTTGCTCAGTGAGTTTTGCCCTATTTTACGACTTTTCTTGCCTCAGTTGTTAAGTGAATCACTGCAGTTGATAATCATGCAGCAAAGTTTTAGTCTGTGACTGTCAACTTCTGCCTGAAATCCCCAAAAAACACACTGGAGTCAAAGTGTCCTCTAATGTTACCCTTAATGGATTGAATCACAGTGGCAAGTTCGAAAGCAAAAGCTGGCTCTAACAAAAAGACGGGAAGCAACTAATTAAAAGAATAACTCTCCTCCTCTCTCCTCTGACTGGACAGGTCACATTGTCCAATAGAATTGTAAATGTTTGTTATGAGAAGCATTCTCAGTTCGCCAAAACAGAGCTTTCACTTCTCTGCTTTCTCACGATGATAAACCACCTGTGGATTCCACTCTCTCCATCCCCCCTCCCCACTTTGTAGGCAAGCTAAAGGCATGCAGCAATCCTAAAGGCAGCTGGGTTCATAGCTTGACAGGGACACCCTATGGAAGTGAAAGCTAGGCTTTGGAAAACAAGACAGAAAAAGTATTAGCGTTTTTTTGTGTTACAGAAGACTTCAGAAAACATCATGGACAGCCAAAGAAACTAACAAATAGATCATAGGAAAAAATAATCTAGAGTTCTCACTCTAGGCACCAATAACCAGTTCAAATTATCAATCAGAATGACAATAGATGTGCCACTGGAAGATCTAAAGAATTAGTTTGGAAATAGATTGGCCTGGAGAAAATCTCTGTAGTTACATAAAAGCTGACACCAATCTGATGGAACATAATAAAAACAAATAAATTAGGATTATTCCTTAATGAATTTATTTTTCACTTTTACAATATAATTTACAATATAAAAATTATTTTACTAATTTCAAGGGATTATACATAGCATTTAGTTTTAATGTAATACGTCTGATTTGTAAAAGGCATTGTTAAGTAATCTGCTAATTCCATTGTGGCTCTAAAGTTCTTCTAAGGAATAAAATGATTAGGAAAAAAGCATTTTCATCATACGCTTTCATAACTTAGTTTGACATATGTATTAGCAGAGAGAAAATAATTTTATAAACTGTCTTAAAATTGTCACTTTTTAAGTAGATTCCTGTGTTGTTATAAGTTAAGAGCTAAAAAGAAATTAGAAAGAAATATTATGGCAGGATTTGTGTGTGTGTCTGTGTGTGTTTATACAGGAAATTATGGTACTTGATTTACATGCAGTAAGCTGTTAAACCAAATTTTGTTATGTTTTAGCATTTTATCTTTCTAGTTGGGACTTTTGGATGTTGCAGCTCCAGAAACTACCAAATTCTTGAGCAGTTAGATAGCAGTTTGGTGTAGTGGTTAAATCATCAGGCTAGAAACTAGGAGACCGTGAGTTCAGGCAATTTCCAAGAATCAGACACAACTGAATGGAGCAAAAAAAAAAAAAAAGACAGCACTATATTGATTACAGTTTCTTTATTATTATTTTTAAGTTAAGATTTTTTTTCAATTATTTTAGCATATTATGTTTATAAACGATAAGGAATTGGTCTGCAAGGAGTTAATAAAAGGATACTGAACTCAAGATACCTTACACACAGTATTTTAAATCATTACCTTTAAAACAAATGTTTTATGTTAAAATTTGGAAAGTATTACATTCATTTTGTTGTTGCTTTATGATATCTAGTATCTCAGGGTGTCTTTTCCCTAATTAAGATAATTTTAATGGCTTTGTATTAGCTTTTAAACCTTGTATTATACTGTAAGTTGCCAGGAGTTGCTGTATCAGTGAGATGTGTGGCAAACAAACTTAACAGAAAAATAAGCAAGCAAGCTACTATCAGTGTCAAACATAGCAATATCACTAACAGCATAATACTTGAAAAGAAATGTACTTAAATATTATCACATCAAGAACTGAAATAACCACTAATGCATTTAGAAATCTGCTAAGACATGAAGAAAAATGTACCTTACCTTGCCTGTCCCAGGAGGTCCCGCCAGTAACACGGCTCTGCCAGCCATCTTCTTACTTTTGATTAATTCCACAATAACACCACAAGCCTTCAAATAAAATTACAGTTAGTTGGAAATTTCACTGACCGAGTGGAAGGGTTCTGATCTAATACAGAAGCCTCTGTGTGTGTGTGTGTGTGTGTGTGTGTGCGCGCGCGGGGGGGGGAGGGCACACATTTTTACTGCTACGAAGACTCGTCAAGGCTTCTACAGAACACGAGGCTGGAATGATGATGATGTGAAACTGGTGCTAGCGATGGGGAAAACCGGGCCCTCTTACCTCCCGCGCGTTCTCCTGTCCAACGAGCCCGGCTGCTGCTGGCTTGGCCGCCCCGCTCTCGTCCAGCCCCAGCCCCTTGACATGGCTATGGGCCGCGATGCGCTGTGTCTTCGAAGTGCTTTTCACCTCCTCGATCTTCATTCCGCTGGTGGCGATTAGAAGCGAAGGGAGCCCCGGGAGACTCAGTCCGTCCCTCTCAGTCGCTCTGGCGCAGTTAATACGAGCACTCGCGTGTTGCCAAGGTTCCCGGCGCCTAACCGTTTCGTGCCCACCCCTTCCTGCCTATTGGCTGGAGTACGAGAAATCTCTCTTTTCTTTGGCCACAATCTTCGGTCACTCAGGAGCTATAATTTTAGGTTCTGTACGGACAATTCAGCGTTGTGCTCTTTAGAAGATGCTCCGGTTTCACCATTAACTCTAGAAGAAGAGTACCGCCTAAGAAGTGGCGAAGAAATATTTGGAAAGCGCTTTGCTATAGCGCTTAATTACTGCGCCGTAATTATAACACCTTGCAACAACAATATTACTAAATATATTAATACCGTTTACAGGGTAGGAACCTTTTGATTGTAAAATAAAGTTACGTTACATAAGAGTTTTGGGGCAGAGCAAAAACAATGAAGATGAAGGACTTTAAAGATGAGCATGGTTTTTATCGATAGTTGACGGTCCGAAACTCAGTAGATTAAAAGTATGAAGTGTATAGTTTCTTAGTTTTAAAACAAAACTAGAGGAAATTGAAGGGGCTTTGTGGAAAAGCACTATAAATTAAATGACTAAATTATACAATGATGTTCCTGAATGGGTGGCGGGAGTTTTATTATAGGCATTGCAACATGCTAACTCTGATTTTCATATTATAACGCTTGTTATTTACAAAAATAATAAGTATGCAAAGGAGATCTTTATTACAATAATTGGTTTAGATATGTATGAACATTGCACAAATGAACTCCAAAAGGTAAGCCAAGGAGCATTTTTGAGAGGGTTAAAAAAAAGTGAAAATTGCTATTACAAAGCTGCAATGGAAGACCCACCCCATTTATACATATATGTGATCATTATGTATAAATTTGATCCCCCAAATGCCATAATTAAACTGAAATTATGAACATTTTTACTTTATAATTAATGTTATCCTTTAACAGGATACCATGCTTTGATCTTATCTATGATAAATACATGATACTATAAGAAAGAAGACTGCATAAGATATTCTGAATTATTTTGTGCAAGATGACAGTTTTTGCATTAACTTTGCCTATAGTGATTATTCAGAAAATCTTGGACTTGCAGAGGCAAGAGTTAGTAAAATAATTTGTCAGTGTTACATATTTTAATTTAAATTATATAATTCCAAGGCTCCATTTCAAGTTGAAATATTATTTTTTAAAATAGAGATATAATGATTACAATTGAAGAGAAAATATGTAGCAGGAATCATTTATTTATTACATACAGTGTAAGGGCTATAATAGCCACCAATAGCAGAACACATCCATGAACAACAAGTAGCAGTCAGAAGACAGAGTGAAAATTCCTTTATCTCATAATACAGACTCAGCCATAATTTTAATTGGGAATCTGATCCTCCAAACCAAGATAAATCCAAAAACACTAGGGAATTCCTGGAAGTTTGAGATTCAAACAAATCAGCCATCAATAGATACATTTATACACCATTCAAGAGACAACAAAAAAACTAAAAAGGAAACAAAAAGATCAATACACACCATCTCCAGCAGCCAACATACAGATAAGCAAGGGTTAATACCAAACAATAGATCAGAAAACAATACTCTAATCAAGGAACTACGAATGAAGGAGAAAACTACATCTCCACCAACACTTGCAGGCAAGCTATTGCATTTAACTGGGAACAACCCACATTCACTAGCACTGATGATGTTATCTAGCTTGTTAATGAAATATCTGCAAGCAATCTACCAAGCTCAGAGAGCAGAAAGACTTCATAGATATCTAATGCCTGGTTGTTGTCATTTTCAGTGCTGCACCAACGTAAGTAACATTTAAAATTTGATTGTATCATGTATTAATTATTTTTAACAGAAGATTTATTTTACTTCCCAGGCAGAGCTGATATCTTTGCTAAGTTAATAAATTAAAAATCAAAAGGCACAATTACTTAAGCTTCTAACAGATATTCATTTTTAAATTCATTTAAAGCAAAGTGTATTTCTAGGAAGTACTGAATGTCTTTAAGAACTCAATAGGATTTGTATCTTAGATATAGATTCAGGTGCAATTATACTGCTTGATTTTTCTAATCAGGCAGATTTCTACATAGTATCTACAATTAGATATTTATTTCTATAGGTGTTGAAAGAATGAAAATTTTATGATAAATTTTTCATAGTAGAGCAGTATTCAATGTATTTTTTATTTACAAGAACTTTTAGATCAGAAGAAGTTGGATCAGCACTGTGATCATTACCAAGTTGGAAAGGCACAGGAATTATGGGAAAACTACATAAATAAAACAAGCAACCAAAGAGGAACCTATAAAGATTCTAAAACTTAACCCACAAATCTGAAGAATGATCCAGTGGCAAACAGATTGTAAGTCTACACTCCGGTATGAAAAAGAAGAGACTTAACTGAATATTTTCTAACAATATGCTTAACATGATGGCATAATAATGCTTTGGATTATCCTAAGCAGTAGAGCCCTACATGAAATTGGAGATGACATATATTCAACCTGGTTTTAGAAAAGGTTGTGGAACAAAAGACACTAATGTTGATGTATGGTGGATAATTGAGAAAGCTAAAGAGTAACAAAAAGAAATGTATTCATATATACAGTCCAGATGAAATGTGGTGAAAAAGACTGGCTCTGGGTTGACAAAGAGGTGAGACAAGGCTTTATACTTGCTCTTTATCTATTCAACATACAATACATGCTGAGTACATATTGAGGGAGGCTGGATTGAAAGAATATGAGCATGGCTTTAAAACTGAAAGAAGAAATGTAAGTAACCTGCACTATGTTGATGGCCCTGGATTGGTATCTGAAAAAGCAAAATGATCTAGAAGCTCTAGTAGTGAAAGTCAAGGAGCACAGTGAAAAAAGTGGAATCATACCAGTGACAACAAGTACAGCAATTGATAGGATGGCAATGGAGGCCTTGGAAAAGATATTTAAATGCTGTGACATGTCTGCACCTATGAAAATCAGAATTGTACAGGCAATGGTTTTCTCTGTGACACTCTATAGAAGCAGAAGTTCCACACTGAAGAAGCAGAATAGAAAGAGCACTGACACTTTTTAATTTTGCTGTTGGAGAAGACTCTTAGGAATACAGTATATAGACAAGAAAACAAATACATGGATCACAGAACAAATCAATTCAGAGTTCTCACTCAAGACAGAAATGATGCTGTATTTATCATATTTTGGATATATTCTATGAAGACTTAGCTTCCTTGAGAAGTCTACAATGCTAGGAAGGTGGATGAAAAGAGAAAAAGAGCATACATAGCAGCAAAAAGGATAGGTGTAATACAGTGGTGATGGGTGTGCTATTGGAAGACCTGAAAGGTCAATTTGGAGATAGATCATTCTGAAGAAGGCCCGTGTATATAGTTGCTCAAGGTTGATGGCACATAATCAAATACTATTACAAAAATAAGTATAACCTTTCAAGATACCCTGAAATATATAGAATAATGGTGTTTAATATTCTTTTTAAACTGAAAGATTTAAAATAATTTAGAGTTGCTTCGGCGGATACGGTGGCTCAGTGGTTAAAGCATTGAGCTTGTCAGCTAGAGATGTCAAGTTTGAGATCTGAATTCCGCGTGATTGGGCGAGATCCCATTACTTGCCCCAGAGTCCTGCCTATCTAGAAGATTGAAAGCATGTAAATGCAAATGGATAAATAAGTATCCCTTCAATAAGAAGGTAACAGCATTCTATGCACCTCGGCATATACTCATGCTGGCCACATGATGATGGAGATGTCTTCAAACAACACTGGCTCCCTCGGCTAAGAAACAGAGATGAGCATCCTCCCCTTTAGAGTTGCTTCAGGCCATATATTGGCCTCATGTTTGAATGCACTGCAGCCATACTGAATCGTTCTCATGAATTCAAAAAATGACTCAATGTAATTTCTAAATTGTTCCTCCCTGTAGTACCCTCTGTAAGAATACCATGAATGGAGCGGGTGGCATCATAAAATTAAAACAGCAGGAAATATGTTTCTGAACATAAACTTAAACTATATTGCATACCTTGTTCGTTTCTTATCCTAAACACTATTGATTTGGCTGACTGTGTCAAAGAGGAATCCATTTTACAATAATGGTTCATTGTTTCATTTCATATTTTTTATATGTTGTTTTTAAAAGCATGTTTCAGACCATACAAGGGTTGTTCATTTACTAGGCTGAGAAAAATTTACAGCAATGCTTAAGCAAGAACTTCAAATAATCCTTCTGGCATCTGACATAAATCAGCATTATTAGGGGGAAAAAACTGAAATACCATCTATTTTTCTTCTAAATATTGGTTGTGAATAAAATTTAAGTTGGAAGAAATCAGGGAAGAGCTTTCTGAAAAAGAAAAGTCAAATGCAAGCACTTATCTCTTAGCAAAACTTTATTAAAATGATGATAATGATGGTTTTGCTATTTTTTTTAGTATTTTACTACTAAAAAGAAAAGTAATGGTATTCAAAAATGTGACCCTTTCTTTATAGCTTTATAATCAATTTATTTAGCCAATGTATCTTCTGCTATTCCCCCTGCAAGCTAACTCACGTATGGTATATGTGTGTCTGAACAACCCACCTGTTACTGAGCACAGATGTCATGTGATAGCCAAGGAGGGAATGGAAACTTCACTTTTTACTAGACTAAAGGTTTGAGGTTACAGGACATAGCCTAGAGTCACATAAGCTTCCAAATTTCAGTGGGACATACTGAACTCTGAAACTGTCAAACAGTATATTATTTTTGGAGAAAGAAGATTGCGTGAGCGATCTTCACATTTTTAACCTATCCCAAAGGTCTGACTTCCTGCCCTTGCTCCCATGAGGTTTTGAAAATGTTAGCAATAGCAGTATTTTACAAAACATACAGGAAGGGAAATTGGAGAGGTAGATATTACATCAAATGAACAAAAGAGAAAAATGTTTTTGTGACCTTTTTTTTATTTGTGATTTGTAGGAGTTGTACTTTTAAAATCTTACCAATATCAAGTTTTCTTTTCGTTGGTCTCTTCACTGGAGGTCTATTTTGGAGTCTAGAATGATAAACTTGAAATTTTTCAGGCTATAATATACTATAGAACTATATTGCTAATTAAATAGAAATGAGAAAAAAATGAATATATTATCAGCTCCTATTTCTGTTTTATTTTTCAGTTTTGTACATTCATGAAATAGTTGAATAGTTCTGAAACCAGGTGACTAGTTTAGTGTAGCATAGCATTAATCAACAGATCATTTGTACAATGGGAAATCCTTCAGCAGTTAAAATAGATAGTCGGTCCAGACTATTTGCAGTTGTGCAAGCTGATAAAATAGAAACTGGGGTTATATGTTTCTATTTGTGCTTCTTTAAGCTAACTTCATTTTTAATGAGCCAATTAAAATAATATTGAATAGTTTTTGCATGTTTTTCCTGGCATTTACTTAAGTGCTGTGCCAAAGTTTATTGAACTGCACAGAAAAAAGTGTGAACACGTATGGGAAAGTATATAGTTATATGAATATAGGTATTCCTTCAAAATGCATTTTATAAGAACTTTATGGATAGTGTATAGCTGAGTTTTATTCGGAAGCCAAAGATGCTTTTAACAAAGCCAGGCACATCTTCAGGCTTTCCGTGTTCCTATTGCTGACTTCTCGAAAGAGCTTTTTTCCACTGCGCCTGCCGCTTTGCTGGAACTGCTTTAACGTGGGCTGTGTTGCCGCGGGGGTGCTGATGGGAAACGGACCAGTTTGGAAGCGAAGTGAGTAGAGAGAGGTATCTATGGCCGGTGCGACTGCGGCTTCTGCTGCCCTCGGCGGCCCTCGCCGACTGAATGTCAACGTGGGAGTCCTGGGCCATATCGACAGCGGCAAGACCGCCTTGGCCCGGGCTCTCAGCACCATCGGCTCCACCGCCGCTTTCGACAGGGCCCCGCAGAGCCGTGCTCGGGGCATCACCCTGGACCTGGGCTTCTCTTGTCTTTGCACCGAGCTGCCTCCGCACCTGGGCCCCGAGCCTGGGCTGCTCCAGCTGACCCTGGTGGACTGCCCGGGACACGCCTCCCTTATCCGTACCATTATCGGAGGTAAGGAATGGAGGCCGGGGAAATTGTTCAGGATCTAGCCCCATTTCTTCTGCTTGGGCTCATTGCCATCTATTTTACTCTCGCCGGTGGGGAGAGATTTCAGGCCTTTATCCCCGGAAGAACTTGAGTAAAAGCAACTAATCACCAACGTGATGCAGTGGTCAAGCTGCTGGATTAGGAATAGGAAACCCAGTCTTTGGTACATCTTCGCTCATAGGATTTGTTTGGGCCAATTCCGCCCCCCCCCCAGCCAGGAAGATGTTGTGTGGAGTTGTAGGTCTTGTACTGCCTTTAGATTTAAGTGTATGCGAGTTTAAAACTTATAAATATTCTTCAGGAGCTGTTATTGCTCTATAGTGAGTTCTTGTTCACATGCTGAATTCTTTAGTGCCCAAAGTAAGGTCCAATGGTTCCTACTGTGTTTTCCAAAGAGAAAATGTCAACAAATTGTAGGAAAGGAGGGTCAATTATTTTTACAAGAATCGAAGATGTTCTGACTTTAGATGTCTTTCTTGGACATCTCAAGAATGATTTGATCCAACAAACCCAGCCCCCTAGTTGCATTAAACAGAGCAAGCAAGAGATAAGTGGTGGCAACCGTTTTCTTTATGGCCAGACCTGAGTACTCAATTTTTATGCTGCTCAGAAAAAGAGCATACCACTCTTTTTTCATTCATTTTATAGTACTTTTTTCTGACTAGTGTAGCACTGGGATGTGTTGATTAAGCAGCATTGCTTTTGTATGAAAAAGGCTTCTGTGGTGCTATCCTAAGCATGTTTATCTAGAGGTGGATGACTTAAATAGAAACTACTTCATGTAAAAATCTTATTACTGTCTGAGTTTAGAAACAATTATAGCAGGGCTACAGTCTTGAATTCCGCTTATGGATAGTCTGTAAATCACATATAATCTCCCATCTGAAGTTTTTTCCTGCAACAACTAGTGCTAAGGAAAGTGGGCAGGACATGTCATCTCTTCATACATTCCTCTTCATGAATGGCATGGGGAATTTCAAAGAGAAAGGTGCTAAGGCAGTCTATCTGCAAAATATATCTTGTTTTCTGGCGGCCCAAAACCATCAGCAGCTGTTTGTTTTTTTCACTTGAAAAGTGTTGAGATCAGTTCACGATGTATCATCCTGCTGCAACATGAAAGGATTGGTGGATTAGTATAATAGTCCCACTTTGGCATTAGAAAAAGAAGAGGAATTGAGCTTGCTCTTTGTAGAATATGCCTGAGTCCCTTCCAAAGCTATAAATAGGGAACAGGTGACCAAAATATTAGGGATTTTTCCCTGCACTATTTTTCCCAAATGTTGTTTTATACCAGAGGTCTCCAATCTTTCCGGGCTCGAGGACCAGAGGGAAGGAGAGCAGTTTCAAAACGGGACCGCACACACTGGCGCAGCACTAGCAGCCTTGTTTGCACATGCGGCATGCGCTGATGCCATGCACATGCACTAATGGCCATGCACCCCCATGGTGGCTAGCGGCCCATTTGTGCATGTGCGAACAGGCCACACAAACCGCCCAGGCTACCGTCATATATGCAAACAGGCTGCGGACACCCACCCCACACTAGCATTCCCGTTCATACCTGTGCACACATGCAAACGGACATGGGTGCTAGCACAAGTGGGGGGAAATGTGCGCCCATGCGTGCGCATACTGGCCAGCCGTTTCCACGGCCTGTTGACCAGGAGCCCGTGGCCTGGTCCTGGGCTGCGGACCATAGGTTGGGGATCCCTGTTTTATACTACAATGTAATTCCTTTTATCTCGTTTTCATGTTTTTGCTTTGAATTCTTTTTTGAATTCCTTTTTTGAAATTTTAAAATTTTGTGACACTCCTCAAAGTCATTTTTGGATTTGGATGGCTTATATGTAGGATAAATAAATATAAATTAAAAAAAATACCTGGGATGAGATGATAGGGCAATAAGAATGTGCTCACTACCACTAATTGGATCTGAATTATTGACAGTCTGTTGCAATAAGCATTGATCTCTAACCTTCTGTTATTGATTGGGAGAAAAATATTACTTGTCTTGTGATAATAGAACATCTTGTGTTGGTAGATTCCTTCTTTGTCATTGTATCAAGGATATTTTATTCTGATTATTGTTTTATCTATTTTCATATTCACTTATTTTCATGTTTCTACCATATATTGATTTTGTGATTATATTGGTTCATTTATTTTTAACCATTATTTAAACAAATGCACTGGAAAAATAGAAACACATCTTTAAATAAATACACATCTTTCAGACCTGGTGCCTCAACCCCATTCTCATTTAAGAGGCCAGTCCTACATAATCACATTTATTACTGTTCTGTGAACAAAGTCAGTGGAGATGACAGAACATAGACTTTAAATGTTTCTTTTCACATTTCTGGTAATTGTTATGTTGCAGCCTCTTCCTGATTGCAAAGTCCAGGTAGCTTCTAGCATTTGAAATTATCTTCAGTATATCAAGCATCTAAAAGACAGTAGGTGGATCACTAATTTTTGCGCATTTAAATTCATGATGTAAAGCAGCTTTTTATAACAGGTTACTAAAATATTTAATTCTAAAGTTGGAAACTGTATTTTCAATTTCTGAATTTTGGAAAGTGCTATGATAATATAGAGAACATTTGGGGAGCAGACTTATTTTTTTTACATTTCCTAATTGAAATGTTTCATTAAAAGTAGAGAGAAAGAATTAGATAATTTTTTTTCAGGATTTTGCCTTGATTACAGAACCTTTTTTTAAAGGAAGAAAAATCTGAATGTCTCCATTACAAGTAATATGTTGACACTTCAATTGTGATATGATTGTTTGTCAAATATTGAAGAAGGATCTTAAAGGTCTATTTTAAATACTTGAAAATTTGAGTTTTGAGTACTTGAGAAAGACAGGGTACAAGTGAAAGAAATATTAATAAATAATTATATTCCTTTTATTCAGAATGTTCTCTGTTTATCAGACCAAACTACAGGCAGTCTCCAGGTTAAGAATGAGAAGCGTTACTAAATCTAAGTAAAATTTTAATGTAAGTCAGAACAGGTTATTTAGTCTATGTTTGTGCTGATTTCCAATTTGTTTGACAGATATTTCTTCAGTAGAAAGAAGTATACTTCACTGTAAAATGGAGATCAACAACACTTTCTGACTATAATCTAGCTGTAGAGTTGAAGATAGTTCTTCGATTATCAAACTAGAATTGCAAAAACTCCAGAAAGAAAGAACATGTAGAGACCTTTGTTTGAATAATTTCATAAAAAGAGCTTGCCTGTATTTTATGGAAACCTGAAGGTCTATGAATGCTTGTGTTAAAACTGGTTCAGTTAAAATTCAATTCAATCCCATGGTCCCAAATGAATTAAATTCGTATGATTCATCTTTCACTGTCCTGAATGATCGCATTCAAAACAACAAATGGCATTTTTCCTTAGAGTGATGAACCTCTGAAGCTGCACAATGTTTTCAGGAACTGCTGAAAACTGGTGAAAATTGGCTGTATATTAAAAACATATACACTGCTTCATGACACTCCTGAAAACATTGAGTGGCTTGAGCAGTTCATCAGCTTGAGCAAGGAGAATGAGTTGGAACATGTTGCTGGTCAGCTGTCTACCATTTTAAGTAATAGGTAGCCTGTTTGTGACCCATAACCCACAAGATGTCAAGGTCTTCATCGAAATCGATGGACGAACAACACAGCCTGTTTGTAAGTATGTATTGTCCATAAGTTGACATTCTTAACCTTGAGAATACCTGTATGCTGAGGAAAACTTTTTGATTTATATTTCTTGAAATATGGATCATTGTTACTTCACTATTGGAAAGTCTATTTAAATATTGCTGTTTTTAACTCGAAGTTAGTGGAGTTACACTTTCAGTTCTTATTATGATATCAAAACTGCTGTTACGCCTATAGAACTAAAGATTTTTGGACTAAATTGATTTTTTAACATGTTTCTAATATTATTTTCATACCTAAGACACAAACTTGTTTAAGATAGTAGCTTCTTTATTTACACATGTGATTAAAAGCTCCAGTTTTTAAAATCATGTTTTCTCTAGATACCATTATTCCATTATGGTGGGCAGTACTTGACCTTGCAGATAACTTTTCAAAATATCAGAAAGATACTGCCTTAGGGATAAAACTTTAGCTTTAAATAAATGCAGAATATTTGAATAAAATAGAAGAGAAATGGAAGATGGAAGTCATATTTCATTCTCCATGCTTGCATTTTTCTTAGAGACTTTGCCCTTGAAAAAAAAGCATATCATACATTAAATCAAAATAATTTTTTACTTACATGATTGAATAGAGAATGCTACAGATAGATTCCATCCCCATTTCTAAGAGGTTGGGTGCTAAGATTAAGCTTACAGTCAAGCTTGATTTACATGTTAAATTTAGCCAACACTTCTGTTCCCATTGCATTTCGGTCCCAAGGTTTTTGTTTTGTTTTGCCTTTTGAGATGCACTTCAGAATGGCCAGTGCTAAGATATGTTGTCATTCAAGGACAGCTGTCAAGGTAAGGCTTTTTAGCCAGTCCGGTTTTCAGAATTATTCTATAAATGCCTGCAAAATGTCTATATTTCCAATTAACCCTGAGTAGTTTTTGCTAGAGTTCATTGGTAGGGAAAGCCTGCTGGGAGGTTATACAAGTTAATCTTTCAGAAGAAATTCAATCCCTGTATTTTACTTTAAGACCACTCTGTGTAGCAAAGTAGTTTAACAAGTAGCAGATTTTTTACTTGCTGATAGTTAATTTCATGCCCTACAAAGGGTCAGCACACTAATATAGAAGAACATGATTACTTCACCTTAGACTCCCCCCTCATGCCCCCCACACACAGAGCACTAGCTGCTGAATTGTTTGTTTTAAGCTATCTGTTTTTAAGATGCTGTTTATCTAGCTGACTTTGAGCAAACTTTTATAAGTCCGTTCTGTTATGTCTCTCCAATTTATTTTTATGGAAGTAAAAAAAAAAAAG